CGTGACCACAGGAGCCGTAACCACAGGAGCCGTGACCACAGGAGCCGTGACCACAGGAGCCGTGACCACAGGAGCCGTGACCACAGGAGCCGTGACCACAGGAGCCGTGACCACGGGAGCCGTGACCACAGGAGCCGTGACCACAGGAGCCGTGACCACAGGAGCCGTGACCAAAGGAGCCGTGACCACAGGAGCCGTGACCACAGCAGCCATGACTGCAGCCGATCAGGTCGATAAAGGCCTGACACAACCTTCTACAACCATGCCACCGTTAACCTGTCTTATGGAAAGATTTTCGATGAGCTATACCCGCATACAAGATCCCAGTGTTATCACCTACGCAGTGGAAGTGGTAAAAACATTGGTATTGCCCAATCTCCCAAATAAAATCCATAAATGTGCATCTCATTGTTCTGCAGATCCCGATTGCGTCATAATTGGTTTCGACAACTCGATTAGCACATGCTATATCTGTCACGTGGCTGTGAACGCTACAAACACTTTTTTAGCGGAAGTGTTTGTAGCGTTCACAGCCACGTGACAGATATAGCATGTGCTAATCGAGTTGTCGAAACCAATTATGACGCAATCGGGATCTGCAGAACAATGAGATGCACATTTATGGATTTTATTTGGGAGATTGGGCAATACCAATATGTCTTTACCACTTCCACTGCGTAGGTGATAACACTGGGATCTTGTATGCGGGTATAGCTCATCGAAGATCTTTCCATAAGACAGGTTAACGGTGACATGGTTGTAGAAGGTTGTGTCAGGCCTTTATCGACCTGATCGGCTGTAGTCATCTAGCTGTTCGTTGAACCACTTTCTCATTAATGATTTTACACACTTTAGTAGTCAGGGTAAATTAACGGCTGTTAGCCATGGGATATTCAAAGGCGCAAAATAGATCATTTATAGTAAGTCTAAATGGCCTTTGCATTGTCTTCTATTGTGGCAGTTATATTGACTATAGACACCCTGACTACTAAAGTGTGTAAAATCATTAATGAGAAAGTGGTTCAACGAACAGCTAGATTCTCTTGATTTAATTTCTACGTGTGCTAATTTCAGAGTGTCATTGGTGTTAATTTCTAACATGCATCATCTAATGCTCTTAAACAAAAACTCAATTTGCTGGCTAAACCTAGTAACTAGCTATATATCTAGTAATTAAAACTAATATTTTCTGGCATAATCTAATTTATTTTAATCTTATCTAATCCAATCGAATATCATATCCAATCCAATATCCAATCCAATCCAATCCAACACAATCCAATCTGATTTATTCGAATATAATTATCACATGATGTGTACACATTATTGGAACTGCTCTACATTTGCAGGTAGAGCAGGCATCTCCTGTGTAGTGCAGAAATTACAACGCCTGTAGTCAAATTCCAGTTTGATTGTAGTAGTGAACTATAAGAAATGTCGGATATCTCTCGAACACTTTAAAATCAATGCCGGGAGTAATCAACTCACAGTTTAAGATATATACGCTGAAAATATAATAGTCTTAAGCTTTTCCGTGTGAATGTGCGTGCGTGTGTGTGTTTGCGTGCTTGCGTGTACATGGTTATGTACGTACGTGCGTACTTGATTGCGGTTCTACGTGTAATAACTAAAACGCCGAGGGTCTGCTAACGTGCAAGAGCATTCACGCCATAAATTATTTCCAAGAATGCAAAATTATATTTTGAATAAATCCATGTATATCGTGACGCAATGCCGACGTCGGCCAGACAAAGGGACGGTCTTAATTATACATCTACGTTATAGATTTCAAAACGTCGCACTTGTACGTGGTTACCATTGTATGTCCTAATCCACTGTAATCTGGTTTAGAAAATCAATAAAATTGGATTCCTCAGCATAAAATTGTTTAGTAAATCTATTTACAGTCGACGATAGAATTTATTCTCCACGTATATCACGATGTACTCTCGCATGTGCATCTAGTTATTCCACGGCAACACTCAAAATAATTCGTCTGCTAGAAGTGGAATCACAATCAATATTAAGCAAGCTAGATCGTATTTAAAAAATAATAGATCCTTCCAATTAACGAAAACTCTGAACCTGAAATGTCTGTCTGATCGAGCGAGATACCCACGCCTTCGTGTATTATGGTAGATATTGTTAAGACTAAGCTAAGTCAGTTAAGCTAGACCCGATTATGTGTTCTATACGTACGCGTGCATGCAAAAAAACCGTCGAATTGCGACACGTTGTAGCCAAACATTGCCTTTTAGGATGCCTCGCCACACGATGATTGGCTTGCGTTGTCTCTCAGTCACGCCATGCGGATAGGTATACTGCATGTTTATTAGAGGAAAATATATTTACTCTGCGTGTGAAGCCATGGCACGCACCATCAAGCGGTCTGTCATCGGCGAGTCAGGCTTGTACGCCTTCCGTTCTATCAACAGCGACCTGCACGCGGCAGAAACAATCGAAACTAAACTCTATCCTATAGACGAAAAAACACTATTAGGCGAACACTCGTCACTAAGTTTACGACATCTTGTCACTATATTTCTATGCACCTATATTATGTCTTCATTGGTGTCTCTGTGCCTCATGCCCTTTATTAGTGGTACGTTCGGCTGCGCATGATATTATATCAAGAGTAGATAATAACACTATTATTATCTAATCTTGATTATATGTAATTGTTTTTTTGGCTTGAGTTGATCCTATAGTCGCACCTACCTCGCTAGTCGCTGATGTTCTGAAAGATCTGACTTCATTGCAGCGTGTATCAGAAGTTGATTGAACACGTCTCTCTATACAAAGATAGAATTTCCAATACTGGGTAAGAACAAGTGGGTAGATTCACTATTTATATATTAATGCCTGTTGTTGGGGGCACTATGCTCTCATAGTGTTGCTGAGGGAAGGTATAGTGCCCGAGCGGTAGCGAGGGCACTATTCTTTCCCAAATTCCCCCTTGGCGACAATGTGTTAGCCCATGATGCTGTGAGTTTGGCGACAATGTGTTAGCCCATGATGCTGTGAGTTTGGCGACAATGTGTTAGCCCATGATGCTGTGAGTTTGGCGACAATGTGTTAGCCCATGATGCTGTGAAACTACCAGGTTGCCGAGAAATAGAATGAATACATGTTTTCGTGGTGGTAGACATGCGCCATAATGACGTAGCAATTCATAACATAATATTGGGCGGATTGTACGCGTAATAAAGGTGTACTACGAGCATCACTACGATGCAACAGAATAGGAACACGATGGGGGACACGTCAAATCGCTTCTTGATCGAAATATGAAACCCAGCGTACGGTAGTAATAACAGTTAGAGTCGATCGCTATTATTTATTTCGATTTGGTTATGAGCGTTTACCTTCTTTGCTGTTTTCTCCGCTTCAGCCCAATGGTCGGTTTCACACAGTCCAAAGGCATACATTCCCGGAAGATATCTGAGTATTGATAAAGTTATTGAATATCATTGCGGATTAGAAAATGACTTCTAAGATGAGCAAGCTCTCTCTTTTAGTGTGCATGTGTGTGCGCGCGCGCGCGTGCGTGCGTGCGTGCGTGCGTGCGTGGGTGCGTGCGTGGGTGCGTGCGTACGTGTGTGCGTGTGTGCGTACGTGCGTGGGTGCGTGGGTGCGTGCGTGTGTGTGCGTGCGTGGGTGCGTGCACGCGTCCGTGTGCGCACTTGAACCTGTGTTTACGTCTGAGCGTGCGTGTGTGCGTGCGTGTGTGCGTGCGTGTGTGCGTGCGTGTTCGTGTGTGCACGTGCACACGTCTATGCGTGTATTCGATGACAGATATGGATTTTACATCACACTTCTTACAGTGTTGTAGCTACGCTAAAATACCCATAAATCCAATTATATGGTAGCATACAAAAGTTAAAAATATAGTTATATTGAACTAAGAACGTGGCATTGAAGTATTGGCCTGTTATGTCGAGCAACAAGCCCGTGTCTGTCGTGATAATTAACACGCACCCGTATAAGGGAAGCGCGATGCATTTTTCCAGTTGCGATACCCACGCTTGCGATGGGTCGCGCATCTGAGCTTGCTTTAGCCAGGTTAGAAGTAGATATCGTGAGCCAGTTTTCAGGGGCTAACATGTCCGGTTAGGTGGGCAAGTATATAGCGGGAGCACCAGGTGTCTGCTGATCCCGCGGCGTGGAGAGGAGGGTCACGTGATACAGTTGACGTATACTTCAAAATGCATTACTAATCCGGTAACGCTACTCCAACACCTCCAACGCTAACCATAACACTCAACATATAATATCTCGGGAGCCGCTGATATATAGGTTCTTGATCCACAAGAAATTATCTATGGTGTGGGGAACAGATATTCATGATGCAAGGAAACCCATAACCCTAACCTATCCCTAACCGCTTAATCCTAACCCGTAACCCTAACCCTAATCCTGACCCTAACCCTAATCCTAACACTATCCAACACTAGCTGCTGCCATACGTTGCGTAAACCTCCCATCCACGCCGCGCGATAGCTACACCCGTAGGGGGTGGTTTAGTAAGGATATCTCTCCATACAAGCATCGCTCGTTTATGTATCTGTAACATCGCTCACGCGATAACGGCTAAATGACCAGTCGCGCATTTTTGCCAATCTACCCCTCTTTTAAAGAAATTATATAAACGGTGAAAACCCCGGCTTACATCCTTGTGTTACAGTACCGTATTCACACATAAATTTTTTTTCAATAAGGCAATACAATTGCGTTATGATAATCCTTTTTAGCTTATCATCGTATTAACGGTACACTGTGTGCTAATAGCAATAAATTATTAAAATATACAGCCTTCATTAAAACATTCTTCTGTTGTTTATATTGCGTATACACACAAGCCACTAGTATTCATTAAATAAATTTAATAATACTAATAATTAATAATAATTAAGAAGAAGAAGTAGAATCTCACGCAGTTCTCAAAGCCTATCACCGTCAGAAAACAACTTCAATGATTCGGCGTGTTGCTTTTTTCTCGGCGCCGTCTGTAATATCGCGATGCGTCGGTTGCCCAACCTCACATTTCTATCTACGTCGCGTTGCCAGTTGTTTGTCCAGTCTGTCGATGCAGCCGTCCCAATGAGTGTCAATCCGGCTCACGAGCACTCTTACCCACAAGCTAAATACAACGTATGCGTACACGTATACATAAGCGCATATGTGACGATGTGTAGCGGAGGCCTGGACCGGTCTCTGCCGACGCAGATGCCACGATCACTACCCCGCGCTGTTGCTAAGCGCGACAGGCCTGGACCGTCTCTTGTCGCACACAGATGCACGATCACTACCCCGCGTGTGTAGCGGAGGCCTGCCGACGTCTCTGTCGCACGCAGATGCACGATCACTCCCCGCAGTGTGTAGCGAGGCCTGGACGCCTGTGTCTGCCGCCACGCAGTATGCACGATCACTACCCCGCGTGTGTAGCGGAGGCCTGGACCGCCTCTGTCGGTTCTACACAGATGCACGATCACTACCCGCGTGCTGTAGCGGAGCCACTGACACTCTGTCGCCACACAGCCAATGCACCGATCACTACCGCTGTGTGTAGCCGGAAGGCCTATAAGAACCGCCTCTGTCGCACAACAGATGCCCACTATCACTAGCACCGCGTGTGTAGCGGAGCCTGGACCGCCTCTGTCGCAGCGCAGATGCACCTATCACTACAACGCGTGTGTAGCGGAGGGCCTTAGACCGCTCTGCGCACAGCAGATGCCACGATCACCTACCCGTCGTGCGTGGCGCTCATGCCCGTGTGTACGCGGAGGCCTGGACCGCTCTGTCGGCACGACAGATGCACTATCAACTACCCGCGTTAGTAGACGGGAGCCTGGACCCGTCTCTGTCGCCACACAGATGCACATATCATCACCGCGTGTCGTAGCGGAAGGCCTAGACCGCCTCCTGTCGCCAACCACAGAATGCACTACTCACTACCCCGCGTTAGTGAGCGGAGGCCTTGGGGGATCACCCTTTAAACGTCTCTGCCGCACACAGATGCCACGATCACTACCCGCGTGTGTAGCGGGAGGCCTTAGACCACTCGTGTCGCACCAGATGCACTATCACTACCCGCGTGTGTAGCGGAAGGCCTAGACCGCCTCTGTTCGCACGCAGAGTGCACTATCACTTACCGCGTGTGTGAGCGGAGGCCTAGGACCGTCTACTGCTGCCGCCACGCAATGCACGAATCACTACCCGCCGTGTGTTAGCGAACGCCTGACGCGTTCTCTGGTCGCACGCATGATGCACGAATCACTACCCGGTGTGTAGCGGAGGGGCCTAGACCACTCTGTCGCACACAGATGCAGCGATCACTCTAACCCCGCGTGTCGTAGCGGAGGCCTAGACCACCTCTGGTCGCACACAGAATGCACGATCCACTACCCCGCGTGTAGTAGCGAGAGGCCGAGACCGCCTCTTGTCGCCACACAGATTTTACGATCACTAACCCGCCTGTGAATTAGCGAGGCCTGGACGCCTGTCGGCACACAGATGCACTTATCAGTACCCCGCGTGTGCCTAACAGAGGCTGGACCGTCTTCTGTCGCACACTGCATGCACAGATCACTACGCGTGTTGTAGCCGGAGGCCTAGATACACCCTGTCGCACACAACGATGCCACGATCACTACCCGCGTGTGTAGCGGGGCCCTAGACCGCCTTCTGTCGCACACAGATGTACTATCAACTACCCCCGTGTGGTAGCGGAGGCGCTAGACCGCGTGTCGCCCACGCAATCACTATCACTACACCGCGTGCCTGTAGCGGAGGCCTAGACCACTCTGTCGCACGCAGATGCACTATCACGTTACACCGCGTGTGTAGCGGAGGCCTAGACCACCTCTGTCGCACGCAGATGCACATATCACTAACCCCGCGTGTGCTAGCGTGGAGGCTAGAACGTCTCGTGTTCGCACACAGATGACGATCACAACCCCGCGTGTGTAGCGGAGGCCTGGACCGTCTCTGCCGCACACAGATGCACGACACTACCGCGTGTGTAGCCGGAGGCCTAGACCGCCTCTGCCGCACGCAGATGCACTATCACTACACCGCGTGTGTAGCGGAAGCCTGGACGTACTAGTACCGCCGGTTGGGAACCAGGGATCTAGACACAGCGTCGCGCATATTGTGCGGCTGCATTTACGTTAGAGGAATTGGATAAGCGTGTGTGTAGGTTAGGCAGTTTCTAGGGTCATTGTGAAATAGGTGTAGGACGAGGTCTGGGAGAACGGGTACATGTGCGTGCAGGATGTTTGTAGGAGTATTGGAGGAATATATATGAGAGAAAAATTGCGAGAGAGAGTGCGTGCGCGCGTGCGTGCGTGCGTGCGTGTACGCATCTCCCCCTTCATTCCTACCTGCCTTCACCCCTCCCTGTTTTATCTCCTCTTTCCTTCTGCCTCTTATCGGCTAAATACACACGCGCGCAGACAAAAACGCACGCACGCACCCACACCCGCGCACACACGCTCGCAACCACCGACACACATCCACCGCACGCACACACGCGCAGCTCTCTCTCCCTTCCCCCTCAGTCTTTTCCTCCCCCTCCTTCAAATAATATCGCCCATAACAAGTCAAGCATAAAAAAAATTCACAAGCCAAATGGCTGTGTTTCGACCTGAACTTTTTCACCCCCCCCCCCATTGCACAAAAAGTGAATTTACGGCTATAATACGCATTTTTTCAGTCACAAAAACATACATACACACGCGCGACCGGGCGCACACACGCGGGTATGGTCGCGCGTGCGCGTGTATTATAGGCGTAAATTGGCATTTTGTGCCTCGAGTGAAACAGATTCGGCTGAAACACGGTCATTTTGCTGCGAAAGTTTTTCCATGCTTGACTGGTTGTGGGCGATACCATTTGGAAGAGGGGGAAGCGGGGTTCGAATCCCGTTAGTTCTTTGCTAAATTATTGTCTCAATTGCCTTTTCTCCAGTATATAAAAAAATGTTTTTTTGTAGAGGTCTCACGAGAGAGAAGCCCGTCACATCGTAAACAAACTCGATGGGTAACAGATATATCCATCTGGGTTATTCCATATATGCGCTTTATAATTATTTTTCACACTAGATGGCGCCCCGATGTCAAATTCAACCTAGCATTTCTCATTCCATTGGATGGTGGCGTCCTAGCGAAAAGAGCGGCAGATTTTCAAGTTCGGAATTTCGAACTTGTGCCTTTACCGGATCACTACATCTACCCTGACAACTACTACAGTGAAAATAATTCAACCGCGTTTAATTAAATGTATAATTTATAAAGAGTTTTTATAAAGAGAATTACCAGCAGCTAGCTAACTAATTTAGCTTGAGAAAACCTCGGAATTATAAAACAATAGTACAACGGTATAAAAGTTTCACAAGTTTATTAGCGCTCATACTCGGATCCTTCCAGTAAATGCGATGGGAGAAAACTGGCTGGTTAGCATCTCCAATGCAGCTTACCGTGTATAGTAACATCGCACGAGTAAATGTGGATGGCAGTGTTTAAAAACGATGCTACTAGTTACCGCGCACGCACAGACACACGCACGCATGCACAGACACACGCACGCACGCACAGACACACGCACACCCACACACACACACGCACAGGATTTTTTAACAATTTTCTCGTGTCGATCTAAACATGAAACAACAATTCAGCGTGCACGGTTTCACTGTTGGAGTCTCGCTTTCCTCCCCAGCCTTACGCTAGACATGTGCCCGACTCTCGACCCTTCCCCCTTCCTCCGTCACACTCCCTACCAACCACATACGGTTACGTCCTCTTAGCTCATGAGATCTTACGCACTGTGAAAGAGTGAATTCGACAGATCGCCATTTGTCAAGTTCAGCCTTCCCAAGACCAACGCGACACATGATCATGATTCCCTATAACAGCAGTTTCGACACACGCACACAGACACACATAAAACGTCATGCAGTAATATATATATATGCTTTATGCAGGTTCTACTAGCACATGTTCCACCATAAATGCAATTAACATGTGCTTCTATTTGCTATGCGAATAGGTATATATATACATATATATATATATATATATATATACCGTGACTTTTTTCTCTATAACAAGTGTACAAGATTAATGACTAAAACAGCTACATACGGCGTAAGAAGACTGCTACCCGCTACATTATATTAAATTTTTATGTACAGGATGTAGCGCTAGCCACCGCAAACTACAAACAACCTAAAAAAAATGCTTCGTCGCCGGTTGCCCGCTGCGCAGCATGCAATACCTGACGCAAACAGCAACTCGACTTTCAGATGGGCAAAAGGCCATATTTCGCGCAAGCGGCTTACAAACAACGCGTGAACGTACGTATAAACGCATCAGTGAACACCCGCTACACACAACCAGCTAGCCGCTACTACAGCTTCATATAAAATGTAAAACCGCTTCACCCTTCTCCCACGTAAAAAACGCGTTCGATTCACGGAAAGCGTAACTAGCATAACCATGCAGCCGCACGCGTGGCAACAATGAACATGAGCTGTGCCAACAATGAGCTGTATAAGCGAGCATGATGACACTCTCTCTCGTACCTGCGACGCACGACGAAGCAAACACACACACACTGAAGCATTTACACGGACAGGTAGAAAACATCTGACGTCGTCGTCGTCGTCGCCAGCTACGACGACGGTGACGACGGAAGGCACGATGGGATAGGCATGCCGACACGAGACAAACTGACGCAGCGTCGACAACGTAACCTCTTCACAACCACTACAAGAACTGTGCACCCCACCTCATATTAGGTTGCCCCCCTCATATAAGGTGGACCCCCCTCATCTGAGATGCCCCCTTATCTAAGGTGGCCCCCGTCATCTGAGATGTCCCCCAAAACCTTGTTCTGACCCATAATGTCGAGACAGCCTGACCCCTTGCCTCGAATGCCGCTAGAGCCCACGTCTTGGGCGTGGCCGGACCCCCGACCCCGGTGGTGGGGTCGGTGACCACCCTAGTCTAGAGGCATTGTTCGAGCAATGGCAGACGCGGTGGCGCGGAGAGAGAGCACACCTCTATCTGAAGTAGTCGCAAACGGTCAGCAGGCAGAGCGTGCCTCCCCCTGCCCATCAGAGAATGCGGTGCGCGTGCCCCCCTGCATCCGTCACCACTCCAATGCTACTTTTGCAAACAAGTATTAATCGTAGTAATAGCACGGTAGCACTGGTAGGCGTATGGTCTTCGGCTGATCGGCTGTTACCATGACAACAAAATCGCATCAGGGTTTCGAAGGCAGCATTCCGCACGCTCACAGACAATACACACGCTCACCTAGACCCCCACACAACAGGGCTCTCACGGGGGTCATGCATCGCCTAAACCACATCGTTGGTGAGATGCCCCCTCTCCGTAGCGGTCCCTCCCCCCCGCTCCTTCACCCTCCTCCTACGCACCAGCTAACACGATGGCTCTACTTTGTGCTTCACCCCCCCAGCTGTGATGATCGCCCGTTCACTCTCAGCGTGGCAATGAACGGCACCGGCCACCGCCTGCCAACACATAACCAACTTACGTCACAACCCTGCACCCCGCGCGCGCGCATACGCAGTGAGAACGTTTCCTGACTAAGACTACGATGTCATCCACAACCGCACAGCTAGCTAGCGACGCATCGTTCGCGCGGAGCACAACTCGGCCGACCTACCGACAAATCACAACCGACATGATCAACTGACTATTCAGCTTCAGCACTCACACAACCATGGTGCAGCGACAGTGCTTTCTAAATGCTACGGTAAACTAACTCTGCGACTTAACGGAAAATCATGACCTCTTAATTGAATGCAAAAGCTACCTTACAACCGCTATGTAATCAAGGAGAAAAAACAAGCATTAATTAAAAAAAAATAGCTGTAAACATTGAGGAACAACAGATTGTAGGTGTGTTGCCATTCTATTGCCACAATGCGAAATGACACGGGCCACCATCACAGCCTGGCGCAGGGATACACACAACCACCTTCTCTCTTGTCTCCCTCCTCCTTCTCCCCTCTCTCCCCATCTCCCTCGCTTACTTCTCTCTCGGATATAGCTATAAATTAACAATACAAAAAACTGCACGGGCAATGTCCCCTCCTCCTCCTCTCTCGTCAACTCTCAGCAATCTACTTCTTTGCTTTCTCCTTCTCCTTCTTCGCCTTCTTCTTCATGCGCTTGAGCGTCGCGCGCTCCTCCTGTTCCTCGATGGCCGTCACCTCCTCTATGTACGCGTCTAGCTCCTCTATCTTGGCGAGGGGGGCATGTGAATCCCCGGTGCCATCAGTGGTCAGCTGCAACAAAGCGAGGGGTCAAGCGGTCAGTCATGCAGCCAGTGGTCAGTGTGTCCGCTATAGACAGCGCATCTCGCTGACAGACTGACAGACAGACTGGACACTGTTGTCAGAAATATCATAAGTATGACTGGTGTAAATGTAAGATGGCGTAACCTTTGCGCAGCATATATATATATATATATATATACTTTACGCGCACATAGAGTTATGACACATTACACTACGATAGTTATGTAAGTATTTTTGACCTGGCCTATGAATAGCAACAACTACAAGAAATGAATATATATATAAATATATATATATATATATATATATATATATACTATATATACATTTGGCAACTATAAGTGTGAGTCACCAGTGATAAAGGGCTTTGTCACCGCTATCGTGACAACAGAGTCTGTGATGATAACTTGGCAAAATGTGGTAAACATAGAAACGGTCTTGATATATAACCGTCGAATTTGCGTATAAAATAACTAAATAATAATAACATAGGTCCTGGTAGAAAAAGATGGACTTCCTTGTTTGATAGGTATAGATTACCAGCGGGCCATGCATAGGCCTATCTGTTATATATCAGCGAATATATAGCTAGATAGAAATATAGAAGTTTGTTATGGAAATCATTATAGAAGTTTAGACTTTAGAAGTCTTGCACTTAGAAATAGATTGCGAAGCAAGCTCTCTACTTGGAAACAGCTCAGAATCACCAAGGCACTGCCGACGTTTAGATTTAAATATATATGGTAATTGCATGTGCAAAATATTTCATCATTGAAATATGTAAGTCAGAGCTAGCAATGGCATGATGCAGTGTTAGTAAGAACTAAACAAACACACACGGATTATTTCCAATTCACGTATTAGTCAAACTGCACATAACAGCAATCACTAATGCTAGCCTAAACTGATTTATGCAAAAACAAGTAGAAAAATTCGTCAAGGAATTACATACACTGGTTAACACTGTAAGAAAATGCACGCAATATCATATCAAAAATGCAATGACACCTGAAAGAGGAAGGCAACCTCAATTAGGGTATGTGTGTGCGTGCGTGCGTGCATGTGTGTGTGAATGGGTGCATGCGTGCGTGTGCGTGCGTGCGTGCATGTAGTGAACAAGACCACAGCAAACACTGCAAGAACGGAGATGGATGGCTGGGCTAGGAACTAGCGTGCTGCGTGCGTCCAGTACAGATCTAGAGACACACATCTCATGCAGTCGCGAGCGAGTTCCAGTGAGTGTTCTCGTGCCGTTAGTCAAGGACGACACATCTTTTCCTTCCTGACAAGTACGTTGTGGCGGCGCGGCGGGCTGAGAAGACGTTCTCGCAGCAGCGCCACCTGGTGCCCGCGAAGAGCAACGCCTTTCTCAAACCGGCCCGCGCGCGCTCTCTTATATTTTAGTAGCACAGCAAGCGGACAATACCAGAGTGTATCACCTCCGTCTGAGGCTGATGATCGTCGCCAGAGGGCGCCTGCTCCACTACAGTTACTTGCGTCGTTGTGACATGCTCATCAGAGATTTCGTGCTCCAGTGCTGCCCACTGCTGTTCTTCGGCTGATGGTTGTGCCTCCTCCTGTTCGCCCACGGTAGGTGGCGCCACCGCGCATTCGGCCGTCGACGCCGTCGTCGCTTCGAGGATGATTTCATCTGGGAAGCTGTCGTTGCCAATGACGATACGCTGGGAGCCGACGTGGTCGTCGTCATCCATCGCAGCGCCCCCTGGTGTCGCCTCCACCTGGTAGGAGGCCTCCCTCACCTCCGCTAGCACCTCCTCAACGAGCTGAGAGCTCTCCTCCGTAGTCACCTCCACTCTCCTCTCAGCTTCCTCTCTGTCAGCTTCCCCCTCCCGCGCGGCGGCGGCGGCGTCACAGTCGGTGATCATGAGGCGAGGCTCCGGTTGTTCGATCATCAGCCGCGGCTCCGGTTCCTTGAGTATCAGGATTGGCTGCTGCCTCTCGGCAACCGCCTCCGTCGCGCTCGCCGGTGCATCCCTAGCAACCGCATCCTCGACAACGGTCTCCTCGACAACCGTCTCCTCAACGACAGCATCCGCGACTGCGTCCTTGGGGTCGGCGGCGGCGGCGCTGCCCCCTACGGGAGCACGTTTCTGCTCCATGCGCATGATCTTGCGTTCGGTGAGCACCTGCCGTGACTTTCCCTCGCTGCCTTCCTTCACAATCGTCGTCGTGACCGTCGTGACCTTGAGCGTGATCGTCGCCGCCTCCTGCTCCTCGCGCGTCGTCTCTACGCGCGTGTTCACCGTCGTCACGACGACCGTGCCATCAGCCTCCGTCGTCCTAGTCTGCTTCTCGCTCTCCTCGGCTTCCGGCTCCTCCAGCAGCACCTCCTCGGGGAAACTGTCGGTGACCATCTCGACGGTGATGATGCTCGGGCCGCCCGACCGCGAGAAGTCGACAAGAGACGGTTTATCGACCACGACCTCGTGGTAGAGGTCACGCGTGATGTCATCGGCTGCCTCGCCCGCGCCCTCGCCTATTCTTACAAAATCCATCTCTGGGTGTGTAAGAAGAAGTGGTTATGCGCAACGAGAGGAGGAGGGGGTGGAGGAGGAGGGGGCAGAGGAGGAGGAGTGGTGAAGGAGGACGGGAGGAGGAAGGGACAAAGGAGGAGGGGGTGCAGAGGAGGAAGGGACGGAGGAGGAGGAGGAGGAGGCGGAGGAGGAGCGATGGTACACGATACACACCTAGCTAGCCCGAGTTCGGACGAAAGTTTTAAGAAAGTGAAGTGAACCGAGCTGAAACAGTTGAAAACGGTGCTGAACTGAAACAAACCGGCACCAGTGACAGACGAAAACTGAGAGAGAGAGAGGAAGTATCACCTAGGGAGTGTCACGTTAGTTACCTACCAGTCTCAGCAGTAGCGCCCTCTGCTGGCTTCTCATCGTGCTTTTCCGCGGCGGCGCTCGCAACCCTGTGAATAAATGACAAAAGCCACTCTTAATTCTTCGGCACACATCTAGACAGGCAAGCGTTCAAACTCTCTTGATGGACCTCCTATGTTCCAGGCATCCACGCCATGGAACAGTACAGCGAGGAACATTAAAAAGAACTGATGCATAACGTTCTAATTACAGGTGGATAGTGTTTTTTAGGGTTTAACCAAACTCACCATATTTCGGTGAATGGCATGTTTTTTTCGATGTGCTTCCACAGTATCAATGGCACCGGAATCAAACAAGCGATCGTGCAAGCAGTATCATGTCAAGCTGTCCACGCTCATGTATCCATGTGTGGCTGTGTGTGTGTTTGTGTGCATACATGTGTGCATATGTCTGTGTTTGTGCACGTGTGTCCGTGTGCATGTGCGTGCGTGCGTGCGTGCGTGCGTGTACATGCCGTACTCACGCCGTGTGATCGGTTATGCTATCCTGCGTTATGTCGCCGGTAACATCAGCCGATGGCGGCTGGCTCTCATCAGTTGCTGCCTCCTCTTTACTCTCCTCCCCACTCTCTTTACGTTCCTCCTCTCTACAACGGGTTAGTGGGTTAGTTACACAGCTATACACGTTGCTGGGTGTGCCTCCTCTACCAGCTGGATGTTAGCTACCACCACCAGCAATGTTCACAACACACAAGCAACCTGTTACCTTGTACCAGTTTAAGTTAAGACAAGTAGCGCAAGTTAAACGTACCCCGCAAGTTACCGTGTACCAGTTTACCAAGACTACAACACGAATCCAAGGTTTTCCACTGCTCCCCTCTCAGACAATCTATTCGTCATACACATGAGCAGTCACCACCACTGCGCAGTAGAGACTGGGTATTGACTGCACATGGTATGAGCGCACGCACAACCAACTCTACATCAGCATTTACCTAGCTTAGTTGTTTAGCACTAGACATATAGTATAGAAGTGCGTGCGTGCGTGCGTGCGTGCGTGTACATGCCGTACTCACGCCGTGTGATCGGTTATGCTATCCTGCGTTATGTCGCCGGTAACATCAGCCGATGGCGGCTGGCTCTCATCAGTTGCTGCCTCCTCTTTACTCTCCTCCCCACTCTCTTTACGTTCCTCCTCTCTACAACGGGTTAGTGGGTTAGTTACACAGCTATACACGTTGCTGGGTGTGCCTCCTCTACCAGCTGGATGTTAGCTACCACCACCAGCAATGTTCACAACACACAAGCAACCTGTTACCTTGTACCAGTTTAAGTTAAGGCAAGTAGCGCAAGTTAAACGTACCCCGCAAGTTACCGTGTACCAGTTTACCAAGACCACAACACGAATCTAAGGTTTCCCACTGCTCCCCTCTCAGACAATCTATTCGTCATACACATGAGCAGTCACCACCACTGCGCAGTAGATACAGGGTATTGACTGCACATGGTATGAGCGCACAACCAACTCTACATCAGCATTTACCTAGCTTAGTTGTTTAGCACTAGACATATAGTATAGACATATGTGACCCGCTCCAGCAAAACCAGGATTAAGTAGGAAATTCTACAAATTGAGTTATGTGCATATCTGAATAGATCATTTAATTACCTTTAAAATGATATATAATATTTGGCTATATCTAAAGAATTGACCGATCTACAGCAATTTGAAGATCGGAAACCGACTTATTCCGGAATATGCAGCTTTTGAGATAAAGCGTTCCGGGTAAGGGGCCCAGTCGGGGTTGAGCGGTCATGACCATAACAATCTAGAGATATCTGAACCTATATATCCGGATTAAATATGCACTTAGGAACTTATTTTTCTAAAAATCTCATTTTTGTCCAGGTAGGCCATTTTCAGCATTGACATGTGTGCGTGCTCATTACTCAAAACAATGACTTGCGACTTAGTCCGTATTATGCTGGAGCGGGTCACATATTGTAAGCGTAAACGTCGACCATGAATTGTTGCCACTAATCGCACTCTTGCTAACATTTAAATCGCACAACCCAATGCCGGATACGAGGACAGCACACATACGAAGCATAGAGCACCAACCACCAGAATTAACAAATGCGCACAGTACGCAACACAAAGGCTCTTGCTAAACACTCACCCCTACTGCCCCCACCCCTCCTTTTGCTAGCAACACAAACCAAACCACTAGCAGTACGTCGCCAGTGAAAATATTCTCGGGATGCCGAACCTACCCCTTGGGTTTCTTTTCTTCCTCCTCGAGCGTTTCGGGCGGGGCTGGACGCATGCCTTCGGCGAGCACCAGGTGGCAGTGCGGCTGCGTGCGCTTGCGAGCGGATATGGTGAAGCGAGTCAGCTCGCTTGAGCTGTTCTGATAGAATCCCTCGCCGTCTTGCGTGAAGAGAGCAGACGAGATGCCGCTGAGAAGCAAAACAAAACGAAAACCACGTCATTAGTCTCTCGATACTCGTTAGTATATTATAATAAGTTATATAATAGTTATTATATTATCGAGTGTGTTACAATGTCATCTCATGTCATTCTCACATCTCATGTTAGGATGCTCGAATTATGTTGACACCAAGCCTACTTGATGAACCTAGACATTTATTGTAACACGGCATTTCTGCATCCAATATCAAGCATTTGCGATTAAATTAAAGCTAATTATGTACTGTGTATTATTACTTATATACTACTATAAACTGTCACGCGAAAATTAACGCATGTTTAAAAAAACTCAAATACCGCAGTGGTTCAAACCACATATATGATTTATTACACGTAAACTGAAACTCAAATTAACTGCTGTTTAAAAATCATCCTACATAGTACGACAGTTTGGACTATAGCTAAACACACACAGCCATCACATAAATTAATTGATGTTTAAAAAATCTTGAATAGTATGGCGGTTTAGACTACAGCTAACTACATACGGCTGTCGAACAAACTAACGAACGCTAAAAATAATCTTCAACAGTATGGCCGATCGAATGATAAGCACGCGGGGGTCGACTCTGAAGTGATATTGTTTGCATGTAGATGAAGAACGTAAAATGGATCGACAAGGATTGGTGAGATTTTATTAGGAGCAACAGTTTGTAACTGCTGAGCTGACATAGCCATCATAGGCGAGAAAGAGAGAGTAGATCGGATCTCTGAAATCAGTTTAACTTTCTTAACTTTCTGAACAGTTCTCAGGATCACTATAGACTCTATACCTGATGTCATCCTTCCTCGTGCAGCTTGCTTGCAGCTGCTTCCTCAGCTGAGGCACATTATAGGTGCTCACGTCTCCCTGGTTCGACAGACACGATAGACACCACTCCGCATAATCATCGTCTGCAAGTAGTGTAATATACGTGAGTTTATATAATGGTTATAATTCTTTCGTTATAAAGTAGTATATAGTATAGCCGCCTATAGTAGCACGGCGATTCTTACACAATTGACCTATTGCAGGGGTAGAAAACAACGGACTCCCTGCCCTCAATAAAGGGAGTCTGCAGCAAAATGAGGGAGTCCGTAGTCTGAAGTT